GATTTACTCACACAAAGTTCCAAGCCGCCAGCCAGCTGTCATTGCGCTCCCTGCAGCCTGTCTCCTCCTCTGCAGCAGGTTGGAATGCTCCTTAGCGTTCTCACGTCTATGCACTGTGTATAGACGTGATGATTTACTGGACCTTAGACCACAGCAGAGCAGGGGGAGAGACATTCCATGGACTGGTCTAAGAAGCTGGCTTGGCAGTTTGGGTGATTATACCTGTATATGATTGTCCCCATAAAGTGGAACCAGCTTCGCACCCCACTTTTTCTAGGTGGCTCAGACAGATCATCATCTAAGCCTATGGTCTTAAGTGTTTTCAGTTTTGCAGCCAAATTAGGATAACGCTTACTTTATACTTTGTTACTTTTTTCCTTTAACATTAAATAACTTAAAGCTGAACTCCCAGGTGCTACTTGGTCCAATGTAAGTATGCATATGTCATACCTAAGCATCCTATGGGGATCCTTAGCCAGAGCTACTACAGTGTTTTACAGGATCCTTGTGGGGTTTTTTACTTTTTAATTTCATTAACTTGCTGAAAATCCTACCTAGCCTCCCTCTTTATGATGTTAAGGAGGAGTCTATTGGAAGATATGGTAACTATAATTAACCTCGTCTGTACTGTGCTGGTAAGATTTTGTTATGAGCTGTAAATTAGACTTTTTTGCAAGGTTGCCAGCTGGTCTTCTGTTCACGTTTCACCAAGTGGAATTTCAGGCCTCTTCTGATGCCAGTTTCTGGTGTAAGGTACTTTGGAAGGCAGTTTAATCTGCAGGCAGCCCCAAGTTCTGTTGTTGTGGGGATCGGTTAGTGTTCTGTTTTTGCCTACCCATAACTTGGACTGCTTTTGGGCATTCCACTTGTCTCTGAATCCTGTATTCCTTAATATGGAGACTGAAAATTGGATTTTTGTACTTGCCATTATTTTTTTTTCAAACCGCTGCAGTGGAGTCCATGATTACATGTGTCCTGAAATACTTTGTTATTTCTGTTTTTGTTGCATTGCTGTCAAAGCTGAAAGGGGCGTTTGTCGAATACAGTCGGCAATAAGAACCATTTTTCTTTGCCTACCAATGTAAATAAGTCAATGGAGGTTTCTGTTTCCTATAAACAAAGGGTCATCTTGTTGCTACTCCAAGGGACTTTGAAACATAGTCATTTTAATCACAGCTTTGAACAAAAACAAAAACGTAACACACTAGTTCCCTAGTAGACTTTGCATTATAATTTTTATTAAAGTCACACAATGATGGTATAACAGTAATGCAACTGTTTGCGTTTTGCAGTAGTCTGAAAGAAGACTTGAAGTTAAGCAGCAGTGAAGATAGTGATGCAGATCAGGTATGTGCACGAATAATTTTTTTTAAACGTTTTATCTTTAGCTTAATGTTGAAAATTAGAAAAATGTGTTGTAAAAGTTTTTGCAATTAACAAAAAGAAGTGTCTGCAATAATGAGTTTTTTGGTCGGTGAAAAGCGGTGTTCTTGCCTGACTGCTGCCAGTTGTGTTTGAATCAGCACAAAAATGGTTACCCTAAGTATTTCACCTATCATCCGAGCATTAATGGTTTGATTTCAGTACATTTTTAGTTTTAAGGCAAGTAAAACAACTTTATTTAAGTTAAGAGGTTTTAGCTTCACGTTCTATCTAAACTTTTCTTTTTGTTTTGCAGGACTGTGATAAGACTGTACCAACCAACACACCGGGAAGGTAGGTGTCGGAAGAATACTCTTTTTAGAGGGGATTGCTACTGTATACAGATGTCTGATGTGTACTTATTACCCCACCAGGTTGTAACTGCCACATGCATTTATTGTTTTTGCATAAGTGTTACCGTTTAGTAAAATCTGGCATGGTATTGCGATTGCTAAAGGGAACCTGGCAGGATGAAAGTATATGAGGTAGCACTGCTGACCTTCTTTTTTTTTTTTTTAAGTTTCAGACTCCTTTTATTTTATCACATATTATTTCACTAATTCACAGCATCGTTAAAAGAAAATACACATCATAAGTGGAAAAAAAAATTCATACCGTTACATCGTTACGCTCAAAAAGAGTTTATTTTCAGCCCAGAAATTTTAAAAAGCACAAAAAGATGTTAATGTGTCAACTTTGCAGTTTTACAATCCTGTGTGGGTTTTTTTTCGTTCATCTTGCAATACAAATAATTGCTGGATGAGCAAAAACACCAAACACCTACTAATATATTGCTTTTAAAGACCTAATAAGGTGCAGGGCCATCTTTCCCTTTTAGGGCCTGTTCACATATCAGGTCCGGATCAGGTGCAGATCTGCAGACGCGGTGCTACTAATGCAGTGCGTTTTGGCTGCGTTTGATGCGTTCCAGTTTAAAAAAATATTTATTTTTTTTGCTGGCGTGGGGCTGTCAGTATGTTAGCTGCAGTGCGTTTTTGACGCGTTTTGCGTTTCCGGTCCGTTTGACATGCAGTATTTTTTCTGTCGTAACCTGAAGTGACTGGGCACGTGAAAACTGTAGCCCATAAAACACAGGGATACATCGGGATGCATTTTTAGTGCAGGAGCGTACGAATCAGGTCAGCACAGAAAACTGACGTCATGTGAGTGTGTTATACACCTGGTGACGTGGGAGGCCATAGAAAGCTGTTGACTTCCTCCATGTTTTTTTTAATGAAACCACCACTGTTGAACTTGTATAGCAGAGTGTATGTGAATGGCATCATCCTAAAATTCTAGAATGTATTTAATCAGGATTTGCACCATACAATACACCTTGTCGTTTGCAGTGGCTTCATATTACATGCCCATTTATACAACCATTAAACATCAGACCTAATGATTCCGATGAGTTGGATACTCATGTTCTTACAGATCCATGCTGTTATTTAATCCCTTTCCCACCCACATTCCCGCTTATAATGTTCCTCAACATGTGACATCGCTCTGAGGATAAGTTAATGTCATCCCTATAAGATCTAGCAGCTAACACCTTGCCTAGCTGCTAGATCTCAAACTTGGCTGACACTGAAGGCTCAGTTCCCCAAGTGGTTCTTGATCATATGATGGCTGTATCACCCGTGACCAGATACAGGCTAAAGGCTTCATTGCCGAAAATAAACCTGCAGCCTAGAGATGGCAGCGTGTGTCTGTTTTTAATACTGGAATTATCAGGAATGAAATGGAATAGTTTTTTTATTTTACATTTCTGCATATTTATCAGCCTGTAACATAAAATAGAAAAGTATTAAGACAATGTATAAAAAGCTAAATATCTCAAATATAAATAACATTTATTCGGGTATGCACATTAGTTATAGCGTTATTGTGAAGTTATCAGACACATACTGGCACTTCTGAATTTGCCCATGGCCTCATGAAAAGGGTTAAAGAAAGCCTGTACTGAGAAATCTTGAAGGGAGCCACTAATTACCTCTCACTCTGACCTGCTAGCTCCAGTTTTTTATTACTTTGTTATATACCTGGAACAAGTATGCAGATCTGACGTTCTGGCTTCCCACTGGCCTTGCTTGCTGCATGCTTGTTCCTGGTCATTGAACTTCAACTTCTGACAGGTTTTTTTTTGTGTTTTTTTTAATGCAGTTTGCTTTAGCTTAAGTTGTCCTTTTTTACATTCTTGACTTTGACTTATTAAATAATGTAGCTTTTTTTTTTGGTCAACATAACTTACCTGAACTTATTTGTGATAATTTAGGATCCTTTTCTGGCTGTAAAATGCTGCTGATTAACTGTGACTCTAAATTGACTACCCTTTGCACCTCTTTGTAATGGAGTTTTAGTTACTTCATCATTCAATTTATTTTTCATGTGGTGTTTATATGTATATATGTGTATTGTTTAAATAAGACAAAGATTGCTCCCAGTAATAAATTCATGTCAACCTTCACGGTTTATCTCTTAGATTAAGAAGACTAGATTTAGCTGTTAATCTTTCTGTTTACAGCATGCTTGAGAGAATGCACCTAGCTCTTGCAAATGTCAAAAGCTACATTTTCCAGTCTGAGCACCTTTTGTTATGGCATCATTTAGCAATATCGTTTATTTGCAAAGTCTATATTTTTCTACCAGTTCTGTCTCATGCAAAAGTCAGCAATTGTGTTTTGCATTAAGCTTCTCCAGTTAGGAAGATTATTTTACTGTAATTATCATGGATTACACGAAATGCTTTGAAGTTTTTGCATCCTTTATATATGTTATAGTGGAATTTAAGATCAGGAAAACATTTAGTTTGTTTCATTATGTAATGTGTAATCTGGGATACAACCTGCCCATCAAGATCTGTGGTTTTTTTTCTTTCTTGTGCATCTCTAGTAACTCAGAGCCGTCCCAAAATAATAGTGAAGGAGCTGACAATTCCAGGGATGATTCCAGTAGCCACAGTGGGTCAGAGAGCAGCTCAGGCTCCGATTCTGAGAGCGAGAGCAGCTCTAGTGACAGCGAGGCTAACGAACCATCACGTAGTGCATCACCTGAGGTAAGTGTACGTTTGTAAACAATGAATGTTTTACAACACACTACTGGTTTGCTTTTTGCTCAGTTGTGGTTATGGCTTTCTTTCTAGTTGACTTCTGTTTGGCCATTTTGTATTAAATGTGAAAATTCAGTATTTCGCTACAACCTATCTAGTTTGTAAGTGTTATTTTTGGTAATTCTATGAATTTACCTGATCTTTAAGGCCATACTTTGGCTACAGGCACTTCCCTACAATGTGCAGATGTGGCTAGAACACCATGGTGTTTTGTATACTGTATGTCAGGGTCACTTTTTTACTGTGGCTCTCAAGAGCATTCTTTTGTGTTTTTTGTTAGGGAAATTTATGAAATATTGTCAATCTGTTGTGTTGAAAAGCGTCTTACCTCCCATTTAATCTACACCCTTTTTATAGCTAGGTTGTAACTGGATCAGAGTGCAATGCATTGCCACCAAGACTGTCTGGTTATTTTTTTGCTGTTTATGTACCCTTGAAGAAATTTCCCTTCACTTCCCTCCTGCAGGGATTCAACAAATCTCCCAAAGTTAGGGGGTTTCCTCTCAGATATTTGTTTCGAACAGTTGCCCCCATTGTAAAATTTCCCCTCGCCTCTTGTTCTCTGGACAACTATAATATTTTGGATTTTCCTTCACTTTCTATCTCGGTTGCAATGGTCACCAATACAGATAAAAGGGTAAATGTTCCGAATATGGACACTGACAGCAATAAATACTGACAGAGGGCCTATGGCTTACTACCATTCCCTGCACAAGTACTTGGATTGGAAGAGGATATTGCTTTTCACAGTGCAGACAGTTTAACACTGTAAACATGTGGGTAGAAGAGGGAAGCACAAGCGTGATCTCAGCAATTTTTTACTGCTCCATGATTGTCCCAGTGTGCAACTTATTCATGAGCAGGCAGGTTTATTTCCTTTTGTCGACGATGAGGGATCTGCCCATCTATGTCTGTGAGATGAGTAAGCGTGAGATTGTAGTCCATCATGGGGGTGACTTTGGTGCAGTGGCTACTTTACAACACACAGGGACCATGAAGAACAAAAGTAGCCACCCTCCAGAAGGAAGGACAGGGTCAGCATAAATTCAGAGATGATTTGAGGATCTACAGCTAAGTGATACACAAATAGGATACATTTATGGTAATAATTAAGGTACTTGAATGCATTTTTAAGATTTAACCCCTGAGTTTAGTGTCACTTTAACATTATAATTTTATGATACGTATATGATGGCAGAAGTGGCCCTGATTTGTTATATGGACATTACTTTTTGCAAGATTTGCTTAAAAGTACACATCTGTCTACTACTAAATCTGTCATCTACTAAACTATCACTAAACAGCTGGCCTTCCAAGCTAGTGAGTTAACAGCAAATTATTCACTCCATCACTTGCCACGCCTGCCCACTTTGACTTTGAATGAGGGTGTATGTCAAAACTGGGAATTCTTGTTATATTGCTGCATTCAATTAAATGGGCTGCATTTAAAGGAGAACTATGAGGTGAGTGCTTTTAACTCACCTCATAGTTCTAGCCGACCTGTGACAATGAGACTGTCACAGGTCGGCTCAGTAGATCGAGAAGTGAGCGAACACATACCGGGCGTTTGCTCACCTCTCGATCCTGTCACGGCTCTCTGCCGTGACAGGGGAGGGGCTGGATTCCCCCCTCCCCGCTCCGATCCGCCAGCGCTGACTGGTGGAACGGACGGGGGAGGTGGCGGGTACCAGCTGTCAGTCACCCAGCTGGGCGGATCCAGACATAATTGAGAGCCAGCTGTCAGTCACCCAGCTGGGCGGATCCAGACATAATTGTCGGGATCCGCTTCAGCTGCGGCTTCGTAGCCCTTGTTCACACCTGAACGTTTTGTAGCGTGTTATACGCTCGACGAACGCTCTACAAAACGCTCAAAAATATAAATGCCATTGTATTCAATGGTCTTGTTCCCACCTTGGCGTATTTCCGCCCGTCCCTAACGCGCTACAAAACGGCCCACGCCTGAAAAGGTACAGGTACTACTTTGGGCCGTTTTGTTGCGCGTTTACATTGGGATACAGCCAAGTAGTCTTCGGAAACGCGCGACGGCCGCGCGACTTTTTTACCGCGAATCGTGGTAAAAAACGTGCGACGGTCGCGCGACAGACGCCACATGTGCAATACGCCAAGGTGTGAATGAGACCTCAGTATACCGCGGCGTCTCGGTATACCGCAAGCTACAGCTCGATTGCAATTTATCATGATCAGGGATGGGAGTAGGGGTGGGATAGCAATAGTTTAGCAAAAGCTAGACCTGTCCTTTTTTTAAAAAAAAATACTTGCCCAATCTAGCACATGCTTCAACACCAACTTCTTCAATATAAAAAAACACCCCAAAGCTATCTGTTAGAAAGTCGTCCAATAGTAAACCACTATGTAATGCTGTAGTATATGAACAGACCGTACTATCAAGAGAATTCCAATACTTCAGACTTCATAGAAATTCACAGAAAATTGCGCACACCGGCCCGTTCGTCAGTTGTTGAACAAGCAGGCCACTCACTCGCCGAGAATAGTACGATTCCCGGCGGGTTTTCCACCTGCTTGTTCGATGGAAGACGTGCGACCGTTTCCCTTCCATAGACTGTACGATTCTCGTACGATCGCTGGATTTCCCGCGATTCTCGTACGAGAATCGTACAGTGTATGGGCACCTTAACAGTGTATGTAAAGGCAAATACCAGCACCGCAAACCCCCGACCAGCTACAACCTCTCACATGTTTCTTCTGTAGGCTTATTCAAAGACCTTTATGTAGACTGGCATTTGCTTTACCTACACTGTTACACTGGATTTGCTGTGAATTTCAATAAAGTCTGAAGTATTGGAATTCTCTGTGTAGTGCGGTCTGTTCATATACTACTACATTCGAAGGTGGAGACGCACCTATAAGACCAGCACCTGGGGAGTCGTGATTACGGCTAAGTAATTATAGCCATGAGATTTTGTTTGGCTCTACCCTATGTAATGCTGTCATGGCTGTTTGTGCTTTTTTTCTATTTTTGCATTTTTTAAGTTTTAGTAAAAGATTTATATTTTATGTAGATGTTCTGTTACTGGAAAGGAACCTGACAGTGACTAGGTCATGGGAGTACATAAAAACTGCCGATTTTTACATGAATAAGAAAGTCATGTTGAAATCATCACATTGCATTTGCAATTGGCTTTATAGACAAAAAAAAACGTAATTTCCCAAGAAACATCACCATTCTTCTATACAACTATACGTTATACATTACTTTATTTCTTTTGTCTCTTAACACAACACTTTCTGACAGGAATTCATTCAAATCAAGGAACATTTTGTTTAGCGAGAGGTTTCTTATTTGCATCTTTCCAGGAAAGTCTTTGAATACATTATTGCTGTCATCTGGAAAGAGAGTAACTCTAATGTATTGTTACACTGCTGAATGTTATTTTTTAACTTTTCTTTGTTGTCTTCTATTTAAAGCCTGAACCTCCACCTTCAAATAAGTGGCAGTTGGACAATTGGTTGAATAAAGTGAACCCACACAAAGTGTCTCCAGCATCTTCAGTAGAAAGCAATATTCCATCATCACAAGGTTACAAAAAGGAGGTCCAAGAGCTGGGTACTGGAACTGGCTATACAGAACCTAGTGGACCAAAGGAGTCCAGTGCTTCTACACCAGTCCGAGAAACCAAGGCTGCACAGAAGGGTTCTGAGGGGAGCCGGGGAAGACAGAAGTCTCCAGCCAACAGTGAGAGTGCAACTCAACGAAGAAATTTTGGAAAGAAACAACCAAACAAACCAGCAGTCGAGGCGCCAAGAAGGGAACTCAAAGTGGAAAGTGTCACTACTGCAGAAACAACCACCAATTTGCCTCCTAATAGACACAAGGCAGCCACAAAGGGTTTACGAAAACCCAATATAAAAAAAGAGCCCAAGTCATCTCCCCGGCAGGCAACTGAGAGGAAAAAGTACAAGACTGCAAAACCATCTCAGAAATCCAAGGAATTTATTGAAACTGATACCTCATCCTCTGATTCAGATGAAATTGAGAGCCTTCCTCCTTCATCCCAAACCCCCAAATATTCAGAGAGCAATAGGACTCCTCCAGCCAAACCTTCCACTGAGGAGGATGATAGCTTTTTCCGACAGCGATTGTTCTCTCCTATGGAAGAGAAGGAGCTTCTTTCACCACTAAGTGAACCTGAGGACAGATACCCTCTTATTGTAAAAATTGACTTGAGCCTATTAACTCGAATACCAGGGAGACCTGTTAAGGACACAGAACCACCTAAGGTTGAAAAGGCTGCTCCTGAAAAACATCCAAAAGAAAACCAGAAGCAAACTGAAAAAACATCAACCAGTGGAAAGAGGAAACACAAGGTTGGTGATTGTAAAGTCATATAGTGTGTTTTGCTTGGTTATCATTTTTGTACTCTTAAAGAGTATTATGTGCTGCCTAAAATGTCAGCTGAGATTGCTGCCACTGTGCATGGGATTAACATTAATAGTTTAAAGAACAACTCCAGGAATAAATATTCTTAATCCTTGCACAGGGGCTACCCCCACACTGCAAGGGTTAAGTGCTTGTTTTTGTCTAGGGACAAAAAAAAACATATACTCACCTGAACCTGGGAGGCGGCTGGCTGTTAGACCGGTCCCTGCCGCCTGTTTCTTCCTTTGCTCCAGCGATGTCTCAGGACCTTAGACTGTCCGAGTAGAAGGGCCATCCAGCCAACTGGCTCTGAGTTTCAGGTGAGTATATATTTGGACTTCCTTTCTCTTTAGGAAAATAAAAGTTTAACCAAGTTAAGAATTTTCATTTCTGAACGCGTTTTAAAAAAAACTGTACTCAAGTCTTGGTTTTGATGCTGAGCTCTTATGCCGCTATCTGGATTGAATGCCTCGGATGCCCCAGCCAACCAGACTGAAGATTGCAGGACCTGGTGAACTATTGCTCTTGGTAGCTCTGTGCTATGAGTACAACCTGGTCTATGCATTTCCTCCTCCAAAACTTTTTCTTTGCAGGATCCAGGTGGCAGGCATTTTGGTGATTCTTATCGCACCAAACTGACCCAGGCAGATGTGTTACTGCACTCTCATCAAACTTCTGGCAAGACACCCTGAGGGCTCTTCCAGATCATTTGGATCTTCTACCACAGGGGCTGGTTTACTACCCTGATTCACGGTCACTGACTTTGACAGTATAGCTGTTGAAGCCCAGGTCCTGAGAGATGGGGACCTTTCTGATTAATTCCTAAGCTCTTAAAAGCTAGGACGTCCATGTCACGGAAGGTTTACAATTGCACATGGAATGCATACTTTGCCTGGTGGAAGGCAAGAAAATTTCACCCAGGAAAAGCATCCTGACCTTTCTGCATTTCAGTTTGGATCAACATTTGGCCACAAGAACTATCAAGGGACAAATCTGGGCTGGGGCTGTCACTTATACAGCCCCAGCAGTACAACCTTCAGTGACTTTGTGGGATTTCAACCAAATTCTGTCTGCTCTTCAGTCAGAATGATCATCCATTAACTCTTTAAATCAGTCATTGATTGTCCTCGGTCAACTCTAACTCACAAGGTCACCTTCCTCATTACCATCACCGCTTGGAGATATGTTTAAGTGGCCTGTCTTGTGTCTCCTCGATCCACCTTTTCTTAGTGGTTACGACCCTGTAGGCTTAGGGTTAAGGTTCCACCTCTTCCAGTCAAGGCTCATTATAGTAGATCATTATGTGCACCTTGGGCGTCTTGACACCTGTTTCTAATATTTGCAAATCTACTGCCTGACCTTCTATTCATAGTTTTTGCTACATTTTACCAGGTGGATTTTCAGTCCTCAGCTGATGCAAAGTTTGAGCATAATGTCCTACAGGCAGCTCTTTGAAACAGATTTTCAAGCAAGTACAAAAATCCTGTTTCCCTTCATATGTGATTGACTCACTAATAACAGTTCATCTTTATTACAATACTGGGACTGTTCATGTGATAGGACAAATCTGTGATTGTATTTTATAAAAACAGTTTGTTGTGCAACTCCCACTGCTTCCAAAGTCCATTATGGTACGTGGTATGTGGAAATGGGGCTTACCTTTGCTATGAAACTGATAAGCTGTGGGAGAGGCCCTCATGCTTTCATCTACAGAAGTGAAATACTGTTTTGTGACAACACAACTGTTTGTAAGTTCGTATTAAGCTTCAAAAGCGATATCTATTACGTTGCTAAAATATACACCCTGCATTTCTGCTTTCAAGCTGCTCAGTGTGTCCAGAGAACCCTGCTAAAGCCCACAGGCTGCCCTGACTTTGAGACTTTCATCTTGCAAAGGGCAAAGTCCTATTTAAAATCTGTCTTCACATGCAAGTTCACTCCAAAACAGTGCAGTTCTTTATAGCCTAAGAACTACCGGAAGTTGGTGAGGAGTAAAAGGTTCTTTCTTGGGTCTTGCTGTATACCTGTATGTGTCACTTCTTGAGTTTAAATCTCTCAAACAGATCTGGCTTGATAAAGCCTAGTGAATACCATACAATCTAACAACCTAGAAATGGTGGTTGCTGATTTGACCAAGAAAAAAGGTGGCACCATTCCTTACAATTAAGACATTCCGCTCCTATTGAGTGATGTAACATCTGTGCCGTCCGTCCGTTTTTCTACTACGGGCGGACGGCAAGAGGTTAAGTAGTAACCAGCACATGCTGTATGCAGCTTCTGTCGCAATTGCAGGGCGCAGATGCCATCCGCAATTAAATCAGCTCTCGGCGCCCATCGGTTGCGACATGCAATGAAAATTATTAGTGCCCCCCCAGATCTGACTGTGGTATCTTATGTGCCCCCCCTATATATTGTTCCTAGTGTCGCCACTTAACATCCATATATTATTTTTCCAACAAAGACACAAAATGTGATAAAGATTACTTCTTTTTTTAGTGTAGAGAAGGGTTTCAACCTTTCCTGGGTTTCTGTCATCGTTATTTTTGAGGAGATTTCACCCAACCTGCTGTCATGCTAACAATGTATGGGAAAGTGTGTAAGCATATCTTGTTTACTTTCTTATACAGGGGTTGTTTTTTTTTATTGCCTTTTTGTAATAATTTATTTTTTTTAACAGATTGATGATGAATCCAGGGGGAATGATAGCAAGAAACCAAAGCTAGAAGAAAAAGCATCAAGCCACAAGTCATCTAGCAGAGAGTAAGTCGTTATAAGTAAAAGGGTATGGTATTGGGGATTTGTCATTTTTCTTAACATATTGGATTGGTTTTGCATACAAGACCTTTTAATTAGGGATGCACGGAAATTTCGGCCACCGAAACATATCGGCCGAAAATTGCACTTTTAGCAAATCCAGAAAGTGCCATCTTTTGGCCGAAATTTCTGTGTAAGCCTAGTTCCTCTCCTCCCCGCTGTGTGCTGCTGTGTTCCCTCTGACACAGCGCAGGGTCCAGGGTGGAGGAGAGAAACTTGTCAGAGGAGGCCGAGCAGTATGGGGTAGGAGAGCGCTGTGAGCCGCAATGTTACAGGAGGCTGAGCAGTGCGGGGGAGGAAACAGCTCTCCTCCCCCACTGCCCCACTCAGGACAGAGAGCGGTGTAGGGGGGGGAGACGGTTGTGCGCTTTTACAGGAGCCCAAGCCGGCTGGCTGTCAAAATAGACTGAGCTCTCCTCCCCGCACTGCCGCCTCACCCTCCTGTGACAGCGAGTCAGGATGGAGAGCGCTACAAGCAGTCAGGTCAGTGATCGCTGACTGCTTGTAAATAACTGGACATAGTATGGGTTACTATGTTTTAGTTATGAATGATCTACATCACTTCCTGTTCATTCATAATTGTGTACATAGTAACTCATACAATATCCACAAGTTATGAATGAACAGGAACACCTCTAATTTTACCTCATGTTTATATACGGTGCACGGTCCTTTAAATGCTGGCTTCATTGTTGTGTTGAGCTGGCACTAGTGGGTTCTTTATGGATTGAGCCATATATGTAAGTGTTTGGGTTTTATTTTTGCGTATTAGGTCATCCAAGCAGAATCCAGTAAAAGAGAAAGATCCTCTGCCATCTCCAGCTCAACCCGTGCAGCAGAAAGATGCCAAGACAGAGCATGGGACACGGAAAAGATCAGCCAGTCAGTCATCCTCTTTGAAGTCTAGCAGCAGCGGCAGCACTAAGGAGAGCAGCACCAAGAGCAGTTCTTCTGCTAAGCAAAGAAAGACTGAAGGAAAAAGCTCTAGCAGTGCGAAAGAACCCAAGGTAAATCTTGCAGTCCAGTTCCAGCTTGGTTTGTTTGTTGTGAAATATGAACTGCTTTTTCATTAAGGTTTCTGCTAAAACTGGTTCAAGTACCGTTTTGAAGCCCATCTCTGGGGGAAAAAACTTTGCAGTGAGACCACCCCCGCACTGCAAGGGTTAACTGCTTGTTAATGTCAAGGGAACCTGTACAAAGAACTTGTATTTATCCAATCTCTACTGTCCCGGCAGTCTGCTTTCTTCGTCTCCTCTACGCTTCAGCTTGTGGGCTGCTCTTCGGCGTCCTTGCATATAATGCAGGGCTATGAACCTGCGTTGTATGCCATGACACCAGAGGGCAACCAACTGCCGGAGCGTGGCGGGTGACGGTCTTGGTGCATGCAGAGATCATGCAAATAATCCCTTTACACACGTCTCCTGGACATTAACAAGCAGTTAGCCCTTGTAGAAAGGTGGTAGCCCCACTGTAGGGGCAGTTTTTTTTCCTGAGATAGGCTTTAAAAATGAACGTTGTTCCTTTTGGTTTATATTCACTGAAAGGACATATATCTGAATGCATATCTGATTTTAGGGATATTTCACGTTGGTTGTATTTAAATGTAAGTTCGGACTTCACACATTCTTGCCTGGTTCTGCAGTATTGAGTCAAGTTATTAGCGGCCCAAAATCTTGAATGGTGCCTATAAACATTCCATGGCAGTGTAGTGATCTGACGCCTACTGGCCCATATAATTGCAAAGCCAGCAGGCGGGTTGTTATTAAAGTATATTTGCACTTTTGCAGCCAAATTGAGATAACATCCATTTTATACTAGTTACATGTTCTTGTTCACATCACATACTGCTTCTTATACACTGCTTATATATTACTAGTTTTCTCTAAACTGAATTTTCATCTGGAATGCAGGAGGGCTGGGAAAATGACCATAAATAACCCTGACTGTACTATGTTTGCAGAGCTCAGTATTGTAAATTGGATTTGATCACTGTCTGTCCAATAAAAAGGGTTAAAGATATAGAAGCAGTGTATGTTAATGAGGAAAACATTTCCCTAGCACATAGGTCGGACACCCCAGACGGCACATACAAAGAGCAGAACAACTGTGCACAAACACCCTGATCCCCCCGGAAGTGAAGCCCAAAGTGCCCCCAGTCTTTCTGAGGACAGCCAGAGTTTGAAACTGAGGAGAGAAGCATGCAGTCTGTTTATAGGCCTGCTCCACAGATTTATCTCAAAGATGAGAAATATTTTTAGGTATGCTGTGGGAATAGGAACACACATATAGAGAGATCTTCTCAGTTGCTCAGACAGGAATGCACATGCAAGCAAACCTTTGCAATCTATCTACTGCTATTGCCTCTCGCCTGGGAGACTTTCTGCCATCGGTTGACATCAACGATGTATATTTGCTCATCCCCATTTTTCCGGCCCATCAACGCCTATGGCATGTTGCTGTGAACACTCAACACTACCAATTTGTTGCCCTTCTGTTCAGCCTGTTTACTGCACTTTTCACCAAGGTGCTGTCCCCTGTTTTGGCTCTGCTTTGGAATCTCCATAATGGGGTACATGGACGACCTTCTAAGAGAGCCATCGGCGCAAGCCTTATTGTCCAACATTAATTTGATGATATAAACCCCACAGTGGGTTAGATGAGTTCTGAATTTCCAGTCGATGCTGTAATCCTTTCATTACATGGGCCTAGACTTTGTTTTGGCTCAGTCCAGGGTCTTCCTTCCCCCAGAAAAGATCCTATCTCTCTGCTCCCCTTTTGGTCCAGTGGTCACCCAACCATTCACTTTTGCATGAAGGTTCTGAGCTTGATAGTGGCCTTCTTTGAAGCAGTCTCCTGTGCTCAGTTTCCTGCCATGCCGTTGCAGCTCAGCATTATAGCTGTCTAGTAGAAGCAGGTTCAGTTCCTGAACCCCCTTATTTGCTTATCCAGCAAGGCTAGGCTTGTGCTGGCATTGTGCATCTCCAGCTTGGCCCTGGAATCGGGGAAATCCATCCTTTCCAAACGCTGGTAAGTGTTCACAACAGATGACAGTGTAGGAGGGGGTGCGGGGTTGTGGAGCAGAGGAATCTTGCTTCCAGATCAACATCCTAGAGTTCAGGGTGATTGTTGTCCCTTGAACATTAGATCCCACTGTTTAATTCAGTCAGACACCACAACAGCCATGATTTACTTCAACCATCAGGGAGGCACTAGAAGTTGAGTCGCTCAAAAAGAAGCAGACCTGATTCTTCGCCAAGTGTCAGTCTGCACCCCGGCGGATGGTCCCTTCACCACCCTTTAAGACCCTTGTCACCGGAGGAGTAGGCCAGATGTGGAGCCTATAGCGTCTAGGTTTAACAACAAACTGGACCAGTTTGTCACCAGAGTCGGGGATCTATGCCTGATATTTTTTTAAACTCTTCTCTCCTCTCCTCTTTTGTAAGATCAAGATGGAGGGCATTTTATGCATAACATTTCTTCCCGGAGACCTTGGTACACAGATTTGGTAAAACTCCTAGCAGACTCCAGATTGTCCAGATCTCCTATCTCAAGGACCGGTATATTCCACCCTGCTTCTCATTCGCATGTTGTAATGTCCTGGCTGTTGAAGCCAAGGTCCTGGAGAACAGAGGACACTGTCATCCCTACACTCTTGAAGGTCTAGGAGTTCAACTTCCCTCAATGTCTACCATCATACGTGGTAGACTTATTTTGCTTGATGTGAACCAAGGAAGTTCTCAGTAAGATGCATCTTTCCTTCAGTCTGGTCTAGATCAGCGTTTATCCTTGAGTACTATCAAGGGTCACTTTTCTACCTTTGCAGTTCTTTTCCAGAATCTGATTGCCTCTCTCTCTCTAGTGAAGGCCTTTGTGCAGGGTTTGCTTAAGTTGTCTCCTACCACCCCATCCTCCCCCAAAACATCCAGGAACCTCCCCTGTTTTTATGTTATCCACTCTTGTAGTGCTTGCTATATACAGCTGAGGCAGACAGAAAGTTTGGGAAGGGTTATAAGGGGCTTTCCTTACAGCCTTGGGCTCGTTTCCACCAGCTCTTCGCACTGTCCCGTGCCCTGAACGCAAGGGATCACATACACAAAGTCTCCTTGCGTTCTGGGGCGGGAGGGGGCGTGACAGTGCCATTCATGCCAGTGGCGCTGTAGATATGCCCCCCGCCCACAGTGCGATCGACCACACAGGACCGCGTGGTAAATCAATGCCCTAAGGCCTGACTGAGAACATGTCCTGCTTTAAAGTCTATAGCCACAATTTATTTTTAGGGTTTGAATAGAGTTGGGAGGGATTAGAACCCCTGTCAGGTTTCACTGCCATCTGAGGCTCCATTGGAAACATTCCTAGATTCCTGCACTTCTGTCTGGGTGTTGTCCCCAGAACAGGAAGTGAGAAGAAATCTCAATATACTCACAACACAGACGGGAGTAAAAATGCTTTTTTTTTTTATAGTTGGGTAGGTGTTTGTTTGTAGAACATATGCCAGATTTGTATTTTTCTCCCTGTTACAGATATTCCATCACTTCCTGGTAAAAGGTTGCTCCCAGAACAGAGTTTCTCTAACAGAGCCCCGTATATCAGTAAACCTTGACTGGTATTATAACCTTTCCTCATTCTTTCCAAAACTAGGAAGGAAATTCCCTTCTTAGACTGTTGTCCCCGGAGCAGTGTTTTCATTGAAAGACTTGCCATTACCCCTTGTCCTGTGGACAACTCTATAATTTAGAATTCCCTCTCACTTTATTTCTAGGTGACAATGGTCACAGTACAAATACAGGGGTAAATCTCGCCAATGGGGACACAGACCGCATTAAAAACTTGACCGAAAGTCTAAACCTGCTATTCTTTAGCCAAAACTAGAAAAAAGCTTTTGGCTAAAAATAAACTGCTTTCCATAACCATACACAGCCTCTCAATTTTTACTCCATGTCCAGGTGTTCCGCTTAGGTGGTGGATGTGTAGATGGGATTACTGACAGGATGTAAGCTTTTGGTATGCAAACTTTGCTGAAGGCAAACCTACATTCAGTTAAGGTCTACTGCAGAAAATTACTGGAATATTAGGTAGAAAAAGAAAAAAAACATACTTGTTATATTGACGCAAGAGGTCCAGGTACACTATGGTTATAGCTTACTTGACCGAAAGCCATGCAGTAGTCCGGAAAACTAACAGCAGCATCTTTAGTGAAAACAATATGTAAAAACCTTAAGCATATGGCAATTTTTTTTAATTTTTTTTTTAGGAAAAAACATCAAATACTGCTGCTGCTGCCTTAGCCTTCATACCACCGATTGATAGCAAGTCACGAAGGGCCAAGCTTTCATTCGAAGACAGGTAAGATGAAGATCAGAATTTCTTGTTTTGTGAACACGTGTATAACAAAGTGACAAATACTGGAAGGCACCATGGGAGGCAGTATAAACAGTGACATCTAGAGGTTGTGCTCTGTATACCAAGAAAAATTAACACCCCTAGTTATTCTTTACAGTCAGTGTCCATCTGATGCCAATATATCTACATTCTCAATGTTTGGTTTTGTGATTGCATACAGTATTAACATAGTTGCAACAGCCTATTGATTTTTTTTGTGTGTGTATGTTAAAGCGAAATATTTAAATAAGCTGTGCTATTTTTTTCTAGAAACCATTCAGCTGATCATTACCTGCAGGAGGCAAAGAAACTGAAGCACAATGCAGATGCTTTGGTAAGTCATTCCTTGGGCAACAGAGAACATTTTCTCAGCGTACTTGTTCACCAAAAGAAGAACAGAGCTGAATTTTTGAGGGTAAGAGTTCTGGAAATCCTTGCAGGGGTTCTGACGGTAGCTACAGTTTCAGCCTGTTGTTTCTACCACTGCTGTCCCCAGCCTTGGGTTCTTTAAAGCCCTTAACACTGCAAACACTGTTAGACCCACTGTTCCAAGTATTCCTCTACGGAGATTGGAAACACCCCGACAAGATGTTTCCTCCCCTTGAACGCTTATTAGCCTTGTACCCCTTTTGAAGATTTTAAGAAGTGGGAGCGGGGGCATTTGCTAGCATTTGAGGAAATCTTGCATGTGTGTGTGTATATATATGTGTGTGTGTATGTATGTGTGTGTGTGTGTGTGTGTGTGTGTGTATATATATATATATA